ATCCATTAGAATGAAGTTCTTGAGCCAGTGCAGTGGGGTGTAGTGGGTGAAATACACAGGGGCTGTTCCAGTGTTTTCCACTTTCAGTTTCACCAAGCACTGTTTCAAAAAAAGGGAGAAGAAATATAGCTTCATATTTATACCACAACAAACAACAGGTTTATCTGATTTAGCAATTGGTCATCAGAGAACACTGCAGCTTCATAACATAAATACCTCACATTCATCCACATGCAAGCAAAGTTTCCCATTCTCAAACTCATAGTCAGAGATGATGCGGATACCATTTTTGTCAGAGATGAACTGAGTCCTGTGTGTGCAAAAAGAGCAAAGGTTATGAGACACTTCATTAAAGGCAGCAGAGTGGTCCGTGACTTTGAAGATTCTGCTTAAATCTCAACATTTTTAAATATACTCTTTCACATATTCTAGTTTTATAGCCGCATTGTGAAATAATACAGCCAGATGAGAGGGGAGGCTGTAGTAATTGCAAGGCCAGTGACAGAAGAGTGACGGTAAAATGTTTTATGGGAAGCTATGTAATTTACAACTTTGTGGACTGCTGTATTCTAGCTAGAGAAGTGGCTTTCGGGAACATGATAACTAAAAGAGGACCCTGTTACCTGTCTGTCTTCAGTTTGGTCATCAGAAGCCCGGCCAGCTGCCTCCGGGCTCGAACACCCGTCACGGCGGCATCTGCAGGCATGAAGGTCTGTACTGTCCCGGGACTGGCAGCTCCACGCGGGGAAGGCTCTGGCTGATGGCCCCTGTGTGAATGCCACTGGTCCTGATAATGAGCTTTGACCTGTGCAGAAAATAACTTTGTCAATTTTGTCTTCAGAGGAAAACTTCCACTATCAAGTAGCTGAATAAACTCTGTTATTTTTTTTATCTTGTACAGTGTGATGAAGAGGACGATGAACAATTTACATCTTTCACAGAGAACTGATAAACTCCTAAACATCCTGTACACCTGACCTCTGGGTCACAAAACAGTCCCTGCTAGGGCTCAAGGGTTGAACTAATACAAAGTTAAGTGACGGTAAGAAAGTCGTCAACTTTATGACGGACAGGCCTATGTTGTAGAAATCTTCAGCTTCAGAAGAATACAGATATTATATTCACGCATTCATGCAGCATGGAGAGAAAAACACATAGAGGTTGTATCAGTACTTCTCTGACCTCTATCCTGAAGACAGACAATTTAGAGCCTTTGCTCAACACACAGGAAACAGAAAAGACAATATCAGGGTCAGATAAGAATAAAACTATTTAGGTAATACATTTTTCTTCTTTGCCTGTACATGACCTAATACTCCCACATTCCAGGATGTGGCCTGGAAGTTCACGGCACACAGCACAGGGTGTTGTTGTGGTTTTGGGCTATATGAATAAAATTTGACTTTGGTGCTCTGGGGTGAATTTTAAAGCAAGTTAAATTCTATTTTTCATTATAAATATCTAAAAATTATTATGGGCCAAATGGGTATACAGTTGGTTTCTCTCAGACCGGAAGTTTCGTTTCTGAGAAGGTGACAACACCCTGTCCTTACACATAAAGTGATTTTGCAAGTCACTGAGCTTTTGCTGACACACTGTTGTTGTCAGTTTAAAACATTAAATCTCTAAAAAACTTGGTGCCAAATCTTTAATATTTATATCCATAACTATTACATATTAAATAAATAACTGATCAACCAAAACAGTTTGTTGTTTTTGGAACCAAGATTAAAGAAAGACATATTTGTGTTTATATTGTACATCATAGCCCTGACCTATGGTGCAGAGTGACATCACTGTTGCATGTGATCACCAGTCCAACAGGATCATCTAACCGCAGCTACACATACCAACCAATTATTTATACTGATCAGATGTGTAATAGACTTTAACCCCAATTACACTGTATGATAAATGTTGTAATGACGGGTCTAAATAAAGAGACATTCAGGTTGCATCCACCCTGCAGTAATTGTTTGTTTCATATGATTTACAACATGTAATTTAAACTAAAACCAAGTTGTGTCAAAATCGAAGTAGGAGCCAGAAAATACAATACAATAAGTTTTATATTTCCACTTCATAAACAACGGATGACCACAACTTTAAAACTGCTAGTGCTATTATTATTAAGTAAAGTAGCTTTAAATAAAGTGAGAAATTAGCTATACTTGTTGTGTAAAAAAAAGAAATGCTATCACAGAGGAAATACAGTAAGCCATTACAGTGACTGAAAGCCAAAGATTGCACATCAACTCTGCATGATCACATCTCAGAGGCTGCAAATGCGGTTTCCGTTCTATAAAAATTAAATAACACGTCAACAGCCTAAAGTGCCTAAAGTGTCATGTGGACAAGCATACCGTGGGGTTGAAGCGAATAATGTCTCTCCGTCTCGTTATTTTGTTGGACACTTTCAGGCCATAGAGGACTGAACCGAAGCAGGGATCTTTGGTCCCTGGATTCCTAAAATAAACATTAAAACATAAATTAATTAATTACGTTTTTTTTTTTTTTTTTTAAATGGCATCTATTATGTAACACAATGAAGAACAACTCACCTGAGCCTGAACTCATCGTTGTAAATGTCTCTGAGTTCAAGTCTGTCTGTGATGGATGCTCGATCAGTCTCATTCAAAAACTCAAAGAACTCCAGTCCAATCTGACAGAATAAAGTTAACTTCTTACCAACCATATTCAGTGACTGATACGATCGACGTTATTCAAACAAGAAAATGTCCAGGCTAACCGTCTGAATACGGATATTAAAAGGCAGCTAAGAAACACCGGGGTTTGCTATTATCTTTCTATTCCAGGACAGTCCGCATGGGCGGTGTCTCTCCTACTGTGCAGACGCGGAGCTGTTTACACTGAGACAGTTCAGCTCGGATATTTAAAGCAGGTGCTCCCACACAGCCTGCCAGCCCGGAGAAACGAAACTTAACGAGCTGCCGAATGAGCAAAGCGAAACTACAAGCTATTAAACAGTTTGATTTGTATGAGTCAGTCAGCGAACAGGTCAACAATAATACCTTCATATGATATATATATATATATATATAATAACTGCAACCTGACTAGTTAATGTGGTGGAAACTGCCTGCAACCCGAGGCATGCAGTAGTAACAGAAAGAAATACTAAGATATTCATTATATTATATATTAAACATAAGTGAATTAATGATAAACCTTAATGCTATTTTACTTACCCATTATTTTAGCCTGTATAATGTCAGAGATACAGCAGTTAGCTACAGTTTTGCTGCCAACTAATTAATGATGTGATTAAGATGGAGAGAGCAGTAATATTCCTGCAGTTAAAATGTGAAGCTGGATCAACACACATCACACAGGATAATAACATTTACAAACCTAGACAGTGTGCATTGGGAAATTAGTCTCACTTGTTTAACTTTTGTTACTGATTCAACCTGTAAAACAGGATTTAATGTGCATAGAAACAGCACTTTATGGCAAACATTTTCTGACTGATTCAAAGCATGCGGTTGCACAAAAGTTTTTTAACATTTTGTCTTCAGAAAAAAATCATGGCTAGGCAAACAATGAGTGTAGACTATGAGAAATGGTCCCTGTATTTCATACAAGCAGTAAATGGTCAATATAAATTTAACTTAAAATTCTGAATGTTAAAACACTGGGATAACTTGGGGCATACTGTATAAGAGGAAAAGACACACGTTTAGACGGGTTTGGTAAATGAAGCAATCATTGCTCTGAGCAATGAAGGCCAGAAGGAGATCCTGATGCTGATGCTGGGTTGTGTGTCATTGCTGGGAGGTAAAGCCACCACCGTCAGGCAGCAACTTGAACTCATTATGTAAAGCGTGCAGGGAGTTTCACCCTTTACACAGTGGTTCCAGGAAGTTCAGTAAGACAGCATTGCTCTAACTTAAGATAATTTAGATTGTCTTCAGTGACTTTGTGCCACAGTTTCAGTTGTTTTTTGTTATTTAGTCTGAGATTGCCAAACCAATAGATCTTGAAGGATGTCAAACTAAGTAAGTTTTAAACTCTTCCTTTCTCTCTTGGTTTTGGTTCCTTGACTTTTGGTTTCCTTCTTTACAGATAAAATAAGTGTTGTCATCAAACATGTGGTTATTTTCCAGGAAGTGGCAGAGAGAAGATGACTTGCAGAAATTAATATATTTCCTTGGTCTTAGAGACATTAATTTGTAGAAAAGGTTGACGACCTAAATTAACAAAGTATTAATACACAGAATTGTGGCTCTTAATATAAAATAAATAAAATTGTGTAATACTGTAGTCCTAGGAAGTTTGTTATACAAATATCTATTTATTCAACTACAGTTTGTAAAGTCATCTCATTGTTTCAGCTAGTAAAATGAAAATTAAACTCTTCACTTGACTATAGTTGACCTGATAACCAAGGGCATTTAAAGGGTCCTGCTCCACATTTCTTAACAAACCATAAAGTGAGTTAATGTTTTCCTGTTTGTCAGCTGTCAGCAGGTGTCAATGATTGCTGCAATGGAAATATAGCTCTTCTCTTTGAAATTGTTTTGGGAGAGCTGATAAAAACTCAGAATTGCCTTTTTATTTTTGCTTGCTTTGCTTTGAATTTCTGAGAGAAATCTGACATGTGGGTGGTGATTAAATGGGTAGGGTAGTTAACTTTTTAGGTTTAAAAACAGTCAGTCTGTATTTTTGTGAAACAATCTTGTTCACTTTAGAATTGTATTAACAAAGAGAACTATCTCTATAACCTGGTTTAATATAACTCAGGTCTATGATCACGTTTGGGATGAACAGCAAAACGTAGTGAGTGAGCACTGATGTTTTTTCATTTGTCATTTGTTAGATATGAAAAAGTCAATCTAACAGGAAACTCACCACTCTAATTCTCTTTAAATAATAATAATTCAAAATGTTTGCTAAATCTAAATAAAATACAATTCTGCTTTGCAGTTCTGCTTTGTGTCTGTAAGTGAAAAACTCCAATCTTAGTTCTCAGTTTCTCATCCAGTTCTTTATTCTACTTCATTCTTGATAAAGTTCTTTATTCTGGAGCTCGTGTGCGAAGTCTGTCCTTCAACACGGGTCCAGCTGTTGCTGAATCACTCTCCACTGTGGGGTGTAAATCAAAGGTGGACAACCCAAATATCCCTTAGTCTTCAAAACTATTCAAGAATTTTTGTACAAAGGAAAGACAAACAGTATGAGTGAGTTTATGTGGATGTGCACATTACCAGTGGTGTGATAAGTGTGCGTTTGTCGGTGCATCTTCTTCCTCTGCATCAGAGACTGTAATTCCTCGATAACCCCCTTCTTTATAGCAGTAATGAATGAATCTAAAAAGAGAGGTGAGTGTATGAGACAAGTAGGAGTTAGCTATGTCTTTGTCCAACCCCTCATTATCCACTGAAAGATAATTAGACTGGTGAAGACCTACTTGTTCCAGATTTGGTCGGTTTTCAAAACTCTCGGGTCTCCAACCACAATCAGTAAGGCTCGTGCTCGGGTCAATGCCACGTTGAACCTCTGAGGAGGTAGTTTCAGTTAGTGTGCATGTACAAATTAGTGTCTGAATTGGTCTTATGGTGCCTACATCGTGGATATTAGTCGCTTCATGGAAATCAATGCCTTTTCATTAATGTGTGTTTGCAGCAAGGTTCCCAGAATTCTAAAATGAGCAGTAATTTATTGTGGTATATATTGTTTTTGAGTTATTGCGTGTTTTGCGTAATGTCTTCTCACCTTCTCATTATCAAGAAAGCCTATAGTGAATCGTTGCTTGTGCGCAGTCAGTTTGGGAGTGCTGCGGACTGTAGACATCAGAATCACATTGAATTCTTTACCCTGAAACTGCTCCACTGAGCCAACCTACAAAAAATATAAATGTCTGTTAAAGGACCAGCGTGTAGGATTTAGTGGCAACAAGCGGTGAAGTTTCAGATTACAACTAACTGAACACCACTCGTGTCAGGTTGTGAGGTGTGTAAGAGAAACTATGGCGGTCATGAAACTCAAACTCAAGCTCCATAGAAAAGAATCTGCACCCTCTGTAGATAAAAAACGTTCGTTCTGAGATAACGAAAACACACCAATTCTTAATTTCAGGTGATTATACACTAATGACAACATATCTATGTATATTATATTCCATTTCTGACAATAGATCCCCCCTACATGTTACACACTGAACCTGGACCGGTGCAGCCACACAAATAAGGCAGAGCACTCATTTTTCTAAGTGGTCACATGCGCCCGCATACACACTCTACTCACTGGGTACAACTGAAATGATGGTGCTCAGAAAATAACTATATGGACACAGGCCCAAGTGCAGTTCCAAAATCTCTCACAAACATGTTTTGCAACTTTGTATCTCCATACCAATATGTTTTCCAAGTTCTCCTTCTCGAGATCTTTATCCATCTCAAGAGCCTTCTGGATTTTCTCCACCTGTTGGCATGAAAATGTAGGACTATGTTAACAAGGTTACCCTTACCACATGTGGTGTTGGTCATTACAGTGCTTGATCAAACTTAAACACATATGCAACTATTACTTTAGCAATATTGTATTAATCATCCCCCACTTAACACACTATATGACAATCTGGACTCAAGTGAAAGGTACAACATTTAAGCCCATCATTTCTGTGTAAAGACTCTTAAGAAAGGCTCTTAAAGTGTTAGACAAAAAACCCAATACTTACCATCACTTGCATGTGTGTGTAGGCGAGTATATATGTTGTAACACAGAAATGTTGATTCATGTGTGTTGTCTTTATAAATAAATTATTAAATAAATTAGATGAATTTAGTTTATGGGAACTGAATATTAGGATCCAAGATGACACCCATTCAACTGAATGAAAAAGTGTCTCTTTACTACCTCTTTCCCTGGTGTTGCGTTAAACATTTGACAAATATTACTTGTAAATGTTATCAAATAAACAATAATAACTGACCAGGTTTGCAATTCAAGGTGTCCTGTCACAGTTTTAACAGATGTGTTTTTATATAGGCGGTCTGTGGGGAAAAAGTACTTTTGGCCACAGAGGTTTTTTTTGGGTTTTTTTTGTATGGCACTCAGCCTCTGGAAAGAAATGACAGCAAAGCTGACTTGCAGGGCCAATTCCCGGTCTATTAATGTTATATTATGGATACTACTATCGATTATTGCAATAACATACTCACTTGTTTTCTGTACGGCGCAATGATGCCAATTTCTCTTGGTTGAATTTTGGTCCCTCTCTTTTTACAAATATGGTCAACAAGGGCTTTCAAGTATTCTTTCAACACTTCCACCTCTGCCATGTTGTAAACAGAGGGACTGTTGGCATCACGTTCATCACTACCTGCCACTCCATGGAAAATCAAAGGGAAACCCTGAGACACAAAAAGAGTAATGAAAATAGAGGTGGAGGGAGAGAGAGAGAGAATTGCATGCGTGTGTGTCTTCATTACTTTCTTGGGCAGGTGTTCCCATTTGCAGAATGAATTGCATTTCTCTTTACGAGCGAAAGGCTGAAGTTCTCCTTTATAAAAGAGCTCATTGGGAATTTTCAGGATCGCAGGATGAGACCTGAGAAAACGTGAAGAGTAAAAATGTGACCCATGGACAAGTTTAGACAACACATGGGCAAGTGAAAAGAGATATCAACGTGTGGTTTCGGTTACATCAACACGTGAAAGAATCACCACTACCACACCTGTAGTTCCTCAGTAATTTGGTGACAAAGCGGTTGTTAAACCCGTATGTCTCATGTGACTTGTAAAGGTCAATGTCCCCCATCAGACGCTCCAACAGTGACACACCTGCACAAAGTAAATGTCTTCAAACTTCCTGAGGTACAGGCAGTAATAAATAGCATTTGGATACCACTTAGGTGAAGGTTCAACCTTGATTATTATTTACCGATTTTGCATTAAATAAACCTTTGATACATCAAACACTTGATGCATTATTAGAACTAGAAACTGCAGTTTTTTTCATTCTTTTACCTATATGTTTAAAAGGTGTACACAGTGCTCACCCATGCCATGTTCCTGTGCTATTCTGGAAGTTATGATGGGGCCTAATTGTTTAGGATCTCCAGCCAGCACTATCTGGCATCTTTGTGGATTCAGTAAACCTGTGGAGGAAACACAGAAATGTTAAGGGCACATGCTATACAGAATATCAATTACTATAAGGAATATAGTGATAATATGACACCTGCTATAGGGATGATACACTCTGGTTCTGCAGCCTGGCCTGCCTCATCCACAAAGATATAAGTGAAATGACCTGGAGGAATCCCCCCTGTCACTAGCCTGAAAAGAGAAAGGGAGAGAGAAGGGAAAATCTATTTAGATA